TGTGTGTGTGTGTGTGTGTGTGTGTGTGTGTGTGTGTGTGTGTGTGTGTGCAGAAGCTGCTCCAGTACCGCGCGGCTCCTAAAGTGATGCGCTGCATGACGAACACGCCGGTGGTGGTGCGCGAGGGAGCGACGGTTTACGCCACAGGAACTCACGCCGAGGTGGAGGACGGGAAGCTCCTGGAGCAGCTGATGGCCAGCGTGGGCTTCTGCACCGAAGTGGAGGAGGATCTGATCGACGCCGTGACGGGCCTCAGCGGCAGCGGACCTGCTTACGTGAGCGTTTACACCGAAAGACCTACATACTGCACTGCTCTGAATCTAATGTAAACCGTGTTCTACTAGGAGAGACACTACCGCTCAAAAGTCAAATGGAATAATTAAGAATGTTTTTGAAAGAAGTCTCTTCTGCTCAAGGCTGCATTTATTTGATAAAAAATACTGTAAAAATTTTGAATTATTATTATAATGTAAGACAGCTGTTTTCTATGTGAATATCTGTTAAACTAATTTATTTCTGTGATGCGCAGCTGTATTTTCAGCATCATTACTCCAGTCTTCAGTGTCACATGATCTTCAGAAATCATTCTAATATGCTGATTATTAGAAACATTTCTGATTATTATCAACAGTTGTGCTGTACAATATGTTTGTGGAAACTGATGCATTTTATTTTTCAGGATTCACAGATGAATAGAAAGTTCATCTTTGATGAATAAAAGTATTAATTTATTTTCTTTTTATTTCACCTAAAACCTTTGAATGGTAGTGTATCACGGTTTCCACAGAAATATTGTGCAGCACAACTGTTTTCAACTGTTGATAATAATCAGAAATGTTTCTAATAATCAGCATATTTTCTGAAGATCATGTGACACTGAAGACTGGAGTAATGATGCTGAAAATTCAGCTGCGCATCACAGAAATACATTACAGTTTAACAGATATTCACATAGAAAACAGCTGTTTGAAATCATAATAATATTTCACATTTTTTATCAAATAAATTCAGTCTTGCTGAGCAGAAGAGAAAAAAACATTAAATCTTAATTCCAAACTTCTGACTGGTAGTGTAACGTCTAATAGATGTATTTAAAAAAAATTTGTGAGTAAATGTTTTGTTTTATTTCAATATGAAAGTAGCCCTGCTCCTGACATGGTGTTAAAAATAAATAAATAAATAAATAAACAATAACTGTGTGTCTAGTAGAGATGATGTAAAACACTTCATGCATTGTGTGTGTGCTTGTTGTCAGGCGTTCACGGCTCTTGATGCTCTGGCTGACGGCGGGGTGAAGATGGGGTTGCCACGGCGACTGGCGGTCAGACTGGGAGCACAAGCTTTACTGGTACGTCATATAACTCAAGATCTCATGCAGTGCATGATGCAAACATTACACACAAATTCTGCATCTATTAAAGAACTTTATGCTCTTTTTGTGCATTGTGAAACTCCTCCATCACCAGTGCAGCACGTGTTTGTCGTGTGAAGTATTGGTACCGTGGTGAGAAACACGCATGTCTTCGTTCTGTCTTAGGGAGCAGCTAAGATGCTTTTGGACTCGGAGCAGCACCCGGGACAGCTGAAGGACAACGTCTGCTCACCAGGTGGCGCTACCATCCACGCACTGCACTTTCTGGAGAGCGGAGGCTTCCGGAGTCTCCTCATCAACGCTGTGGAGGCCTCCTGCATCCGGACCAGGTGCTTAATACTGGGTTTCTGTCGGGTTTGTGTTCGTAAGAGAGCGATTAATCAGCTGACTCTGCTGGGATCATTTGGATTGGCTGATTAACACAAGTGTGCCAAACGCTGATGGCCTTATGGATCATGCACATTTTTCTTTTAATGAGTTTTGAGGAAATATTGAGCAAAATAATAAGTGTTCAATTAACTTCATGCTGTTTACTGTCAGAAAACTGTTGCACATATTTTGCCTTTCGGCGTACAACAGCTTTAAAACTTTGAAATGTGTTTGATTTTTTCTGCTTTCATTTTTCTGGATTTAGTTTGGTTAAATTAATGGTTAAAGCATGTCTAATTAAAATTATGAAATGTATAGAGTTTAACTACAATTTATCAAATTTTAGGGCCCTATGAAAATCTTTATGAAACCTGATTTATTTTTTTCCCCAAATTCTGTTTTTTTTTTTCTTTTCTTTTTTTTTCTGTAATTTTAATGGTTAAATTTTAACAATCAAAAAGCATGTCAAATCAATTGAATTTTATAAAACTTAGTTTTTACTATAATATGGCCCAATTAAATGTTTTATTTTTTCATACATTTTGTTTTAAATTTTCTTATTTAACACAAATGCATTTAAAATGGTGGTAATAAAATTAATCCATAAACATTCCATAATTTAATTAATCTACACTTCAAATGAAAATTCAACAATTCCTTTTATTTTTTTTAACAAACAATCTGCTGCACAGCAGAGGTTTACTGTTCAAATGACAACATGGATGAAAAATTGTGTGAAATTCCCTCATATATTTTTATTATATATTATAACTTTGAGAAGAACATTCTACAGTGCAATAGTAATATAACTTTTCTCAAGTTATAACTTTTATTTTGGCAGGTAAAGACTTTTGATTAAAAACTATGGTCAGATACACACAAATTCAAATTAAATGCTTGTGAAGTGAACCTAAAGTGTGCATGCTAGTGCTTTAGAGTAGTAACATGTACTCTTGATTTAACAATATGTACTTTTTAGTGTTAAATATGGTGGAAAGACACCCCAAGAGAACAGTTTTTGCTCATTTCTCCTGAGCGTATTCTTTGGCGTTATACTGGCCTTCTGTAAGCTGCTTTCTAGCTCGTTTCAGCTTCTCAAACCACACATTTGTAGTCTAGTTAGAGTAGTCTGTCTCATGTCTGTTAGTCGCTCACACCTCCTGTGTTCCTCCTCGCAGGGAGCTGCAGTTTCTGGCCGATCAGGAGAAGATCTCCCCCGCCGCCATCAAGAAGACGACGCTGGATAAAGTGCTGCAGCAGCCGGGCGTCTCGTCCACATCAGTCGCCACCAAGAGCAGAGTGAACCTGTTCAACAACAGGAGCGGCGTCAAGAAGTGAACACACGCACACACAGGACAATACAAGAACTGTGCTGCCTGTCCACACACACATTCAGATTGAAATGCATTATGGGTCTGTGCTTGTGCTGACAGTGCACCTCCTGTTACACTGGTACAGTATTACACCGGGAAACACGTGTCATAAAGAGTGTTATTAATATTATTATTATTATTAACACCTTCATATCTTTAAAGTCCATGAAAATTCAAAGGGAATAATGGAAATCGTTTCCAGATGGGTTTTTATGTCTATGGTCACTTTGTTCTAGGATGAAACTGGACGCATGACACGTTTTGACTCACGTTTTGCACACATGCACTGTCAGACTTGTTGATTTTGTTTTGGTTAACAAGATATCAGAACTTCCTAAAGCAGTGTCCTGGCAAACCTCAAAACACCCTATAGCAACGCCCTGATAACCCTATAACAACACCCTGGCAACAACTCGAAACACCCTATAGCAAGGTCCTGGCAACTACTGAAACCCCATAGCAACCCTATAGCAACAACCTGGCAACGATGCATAACAGCGTATAGTAATGCCCTGGCAATAACTCAAAACACCCTATAGCAATGAAAACACCCTATAGCAACGCCCTGGCAACAACTCAAAACACCATAGCAACCCTATAGCAATGCCCTGACAAAAACTCAAAACACCCTATAGCAACGCCCTGGCAACAACTCAAAACACCATAGCAACCCTATAGCAATGCCCTGGCAAGAACTCAGAACACCGTATAGCAACGCCCTTCTAAACGGGCTTTTATGTCAGTGGTCACTTTGTTCCAGGATGAATCTGATTGTTTTGCACACATGAACTTTCAGATCTGTTGATTTTCTTTGCTTAACAGGATATCAGAACTTCTCTGAGCTGTTGCAGGAAGTGATGTCACAGAATAGCAACTTTTATTTAGCTTTTTTGCTCTTTAAGTTTGACTTATTCTCTTGAACTCTTTTGAATACGTTACCTGTAAGTTCTTTCTGAAACATTTCATCTGGATCTATTGCAGACCTGGACACCCTTATATATTTGTTGTTTGTTCTTTTTAAAATGCTGGAGAAAATAATGAAATGTCAAATAGCCAAAGTGTTTTGTAAGCCGATTATCAGGCGTGAAGCATCTTTCTGTTTGTCTGTTCTGTGTATTTTTATTACAGAAATATGAAAACTGCATAAACAGTGCTGAAAGTTAAAACAGAAAAGCTGTGTTTTTGCTTACGGTTTTATTTTCGTCGGTTTCATTGATGAACTGTTCCTGATGTGCGAGAACATTGTTGCGTTTGTTCCAGACGTGTAATTAAAGCAGGAGTGAACTATGAATAATTACTGTTTCTTTAAGCAAATTAACTGAAGGTTTTTCTTTGAAAGCCATTACTCAACTATGCAGGAGAACAAACACAGCGTCACGCCATCCTTCAGGTGCTGAACACTGAAACCACCAGCATTGTGCAAGTTTTCTCAGTAGTCGCTTCTTCCTTGTGCTTTACAGTAAACCATTTCTCCATGTGATTGCGAAAGGATTTCATTTATTGAACATTTCAGATTTTAGTGAGTCTGGTTAATCATCAGTAGTACTAGTTCTGATAGTGATGTGCTGAAACCTCTAGCACTTGATCAGATGCACCATCTTCACCTGCTGAAGCATAAAACAAGTGAAGGAATCCCACAGGTAGTTTTAGAAATGCTAAAAACAGAAACCGTAACAACTGCATGGCAATGTGTCAAAAGTCACTCTCAAAACCCTAGCAACAGTAAAGCAGTACCCTGGCAACAACTCAAAATCCAAGCAACCCTATAGAAACGCTCTGGCAACAACTAGAAAAACCCATGTAGCCCTTTAGAAATGCCTTGCCCTTCGCAACTCTATAGGAACATCTTGGCAACAACTAGAAAAACCCAAGCAACCCATTAGAAATGCCCTAGCAACCCTATAGCAACCACCTGCAAACCCAATAGCAATGCCCTGGCAATAACTCGAAACACCTTAGAAACTCCCTGACAACAACTCACAACACCCTATAGCAATGCCCTGGCAACACCTCAAAACACCCTAGCAACACCCTGGCAACACTTCAAAACACCCTATCAACGCCCTGGCAACAACTCAAAACACCTTAGAAATGCCCTGACAACAACTCACAACACTCTATAGCAATGCCCTGGCAACAAATCAAAACACCTTAGCAACGCCCTGGCAACAACTCAAAACACCCTATAGCAACATCTCAAAACACCCTAGCAACGCCCTGCCAACAACTCAAAACACCTTAACACTCTAGCAACACCCTGTAAATAACTCAAAACACCCTAGCAACGCCCTGGCAACAACTCAAAACACCTTAGAAACGCCCTGACAACAACTCACAACACCCTATAGCAATGCCCTGGCAACACCTCAAAACACCCTGGCAACAACTCAAAACACCCTAGCAACGCCCTGGCAACACCTCAAAACACCCTAGCAAAGCCCTGGCAACACCTCAAAACACCCTAGCAATGCCCTGGAAATAACTCAAAACACCCTAGCAACGCCCTGGCAACAACTCAAAACACCCTATAACAACCCCCCGGCAACAACTCAAAACACCCTAGCAATGCCCTGTAAATAACTCAAAACACCCTAGCAACGCCCTGGCAACAACTCAAAACACCCTATAACAACCCCCCGGCAACAACTCAAAACACCCTAGCAATGCCCTGTAAATAACTCAAAACACCCTATAACAACCCCCCGGCAACATCTCAAAACACTCTAGCAACACCCTGTAAATAACTCAAAACACCCTAGCAACGCCCTGGCAACAACTCAAAACACCCTATAACAACCCCCCGGCAACATCTCAAAACACTCTAGCAACACCCTGTAAATAACTCAAAACACCCTAGCAACGCCCTGGCAACAACTCAAAACACCTTAGAAACGCCCTGACAACAACTCACAACACCCTAGCAATCCCGTAACAACACCCTGGCAACCATCCACAACACTTTAATATCAGTGGTGAGTTTTAGGTAAGGCAAGTTTATTTGGCATATTTCATACACAATAGTAATTCAAAGTGCTTTATGTAAGAAATGAGTTAAAATATTCATAAGAAATGCATAAAAACATTTAAAAAGTAAATAATTATTAAAAATGTATTCAAAGTCGGAGTCCACAGACACCGCTGCATTTGTGTGAATGTGCTGCATGTAGTTTCTGGTGCGTTGTGGACCTGCAGCTCTGAGTCAGTCGGGCTGATGTGAGGAACGCTGGAGGCTCAGGCTATTTCTAGAGCTGCATTGCGTAGATGTTTCTCTGCTCAGCTGGCATGGAGATGAGTGCGTGTCACTCTGAAGACACGCCGGTTTTAGAACCGTCAGGGTCACTTCTGAAGCCACTCTGACCTACGGGTTAAAGGTCATGCAGGGGAGACACAAACGAGCAGAGCAAACGTTCCCATTAAGTTACAAACACTGTCTGAATGTTGAAAATGTCCAGTTTTTTTAAATGCTTATGCAAATGAAAAAAGACGAACATCTAAGTATCCAGCTAACAAAATGTTCAAGGAAAGTTTATCTAATGTCCGCTTTAAAGTTATAGAAATGTTATTTCTGAATGTTGTCTGAACTTTCTAAACGTCTGTTGTGAATTCCGTTTGAATGTTCTCTGAACGCCCTGAAACAAGAAGTAACATTTAAAAAACGTTTGATGAACGTCCAACTAAAATTCCTTGAATGATGTATATACAATATTTTTGTGCTAACATTTGGAGGACATTATTAAAGCACTGTGAACAAACATCCTATTAATGTCACTGGAAGAACGTTCCCTGTTAGCGGAGAGAATGGCGTTTGTGATATGAAAACATCAACATTTATAAAGATGAGATGAAATCTTTAAGTTGATGTCCTGACAAAAGCCTTCCTCTCTTATTAACATCCTCTTCGTTTCTTTGTCATCGTGTCAAAAGTCTATTAAAGCTGAAGTGTCTGACCGGAGTCAGATAGTCTGATACTTCCTTCAATTACAACACCGGCATTTTCATTTTTACAGTGTTTCAGAGTTCGAGTTGATTTCTGTTCCTCAGTGTGTCTTCACGTCCACAGGCAGAGACAGCAGGATTAGCTCCAGAGCTGCTCTTGTGTTTGTGTTTCTGACGGCCGCTGTTTATTTGTGTCTGATTGGAAGTCGAGGAGGCGCTAAAGAGTTCCATAATCCTCCTTTTATTCCAGAGGTTCTTCCTCGGTCGGCCCACCGCTCTCAAACGCTGATAAGTCACACGAATCTTATGCTCCTGTTATTCCTCTGGAAACGCGCAGGACACCGCTCATCGTTTTCTGATGATATTCCACCAACACAATCAGCCGTTTGCACCGTTCTCAAACGAGTTTCTTCAAAAGAGCTTTTGCCCATTGATGAACCGTTTTTTTACTGCTTCAGATTAGTTTCTGAGTTTTTGCCGTTTTAACAGGTTAGTTCATCCAAAAGTAAAAATAAGGATTTACATCGTAGTCTGTTCCTCACTCTAAATTATCATGAGTATTATAAACTACTTTTATGTTGCTTTTCTGTCCTTTTCAAGCCTGACTGCCCATTTGCTTTTGTTGTACAGAAAAGTGTAGTTCAGATGAAATACAGGCTTAAAACAACTGAACGTTCAAAACATCGTGTTTTTGAATGTTCGGGTTATTTTTAAATGTTTTTTTTTTTTTTTTTTTTTTTCTAAAGGTTA